TAATTAAGACAACATCGATACACTCAAATTCTATTTAGTAAAGGAATAAGCAATCAATGCAGCTGAAGAGTGGCAATTCAGGGCTAAGGATTAACTGTGACCCTGGACACGAGGCTTCTGCTTCCGTTTTGGGGCCCAGCTTCCCATCTGATATCTAATTACTAGTTTAACCAGGAAAATAGACTCAGGTGTCACAAACAGACCTCTCATTTGTGTGGCCTAGATGGCTTTAGGGAAAAGGGAAATCACAGAAGAAAAACACGCCATGCACTAAGTCATATTAGTATTTACTAACCCAGACTGGGTCTTTGAAGCCTGGCACTTCAATCCTTACTTGTAACTTGGACAACTCATTCGTTATTCACACACTGATTTTCCATCTGTAACTCACAGACAAGGAAAACCTCCCCATTTCACAGATATTCTGCAGATTTAATTAGATAATGCAGATCTAGAGGCCCCACAGAGCTCTGCTGCACCAGCATTAACGCCGCGGTGCCTGCAGGACTCCTGGGGTAGGTGAAGCTGCCGGGGCAGAGGGCATCTGCCTGGCATATGGTCACTCAGGGGGTGGCACATACCCAAGGAGCTGCTCCTTTTTCTGACAAGCACTGGGTAGTTCTGATGACACAGAACACTAAAAGACAAACAGAAACCACGTTAAAGACCAAAAAAACCCCAGTTGAGGATCTGTTTTACAGCTACTTGACTGATCAAACCAAAGAGGAAGATCTGTGTCAGGTTTGGGGGGTCCCTCAACCTAATGAGATTTTAGTGCTGCCTGTTTTGAAAGACAGATCTGCAAGAGATAAATGAAGTGACATTTTAACTAGGAGGCCACTGCATCTCTGGTCAGCCCAGAACTGCCTCTTTCTGAGAACCACCTTCTTTAAGACCTCATATAAAGTTTGCAGACTAACACCACAACCTACACACACACAAAAGGACCAGCACTGAGATTTGGATGTCCTTTCTGTCTTAAACACCCTCTGGGCGGAATATTAAAAAATTACATGCCAAGAAGCAGGCAATGAATCTCAGTAGCCCACCATGGATCTCCTCCTCCATCACTACTGTTTCCTCAGAGACGTGCCGATGGGTCTAAAAAAAAAAAAAAAAAATAAAAAAACAAAACCAAAAAACAACTCGCATCTTCAACTGCATAAAGTATTAGGAGAAGAGTACATGTTTAAAGCTACTCCTTGGTGTCTCATGTTTTATTGCATACTCCTCGAGTACTGACCAAGCCTGTCATGTCTTGCACCTTTACACGGGGATTCATCTCATGCTACCTCACACCCACACCAAATAAGATACAGGTGGAAGAAGAAAATAACAGGAATTCCTTAAGACACAAAAAAGAAAAAAACCACCACAACAACTCTGTGATGACAGGACCTCATTTGCTTTTCCTGTGCATGATTTTTCCTCTCACACCTTCAACAGAAGGCCCGTCTCAATCAGGCAGCTGCCAGGCTCCCCTGCCCAATGACTGCAGCAGGGTTTGAGGTGCAGAGAACAGCAGGCATGCTCGAAATCTCTTTCAACCGCCAAAGAGTGAGTCGGTCACACTGCCTGCTCTATAGCAGAGTGTCTTCCTGTCCCCTCTTCCTCCTTCCTCAACCTGCCTACCTCCGGTAGCTTTGATTTCTCTAGCAGCGTGGAGAGCCTGCAGCCCCCAACTGCACCAGAGCATCCATTCTGTCCACAGAAAACAAGGTTGGGCTCTCCTCCGCTCCATCCCACTTTGCTCTTTGCTTCCTGCAGCCACCAGCCACAGCAGAGGGTCTCCTTCCTGCCAGGCAGGGTTTGAAAATGACCTTTCTAAACTCCAATGGATGCCAGAAGGCAGCTCCTGTCTCTTCTCTTACGTAAGAAGAGCTCCTGCCACAGACAGCTCACTTTTCTTGTTGCTCCAACTGCTTCTGCAGACATCCAAAGCCCCAACAACTGCAAAAGCAGCTGCAAGCGTGGCGGCGGCTCCTCAAGGAATCTCTCTGCTCAGCAGCAGAAGCACCACCGAGTTTACAAACACAAATTCTCAGCAGTTTGGACTGAAAAAGGACATGAGAGAGGACAGGTGACAGGTTTTTTTCCTTCTGAGGGCTTTAAAAGAACATCTAAAAGGTACAAGCCGGAAGGACAAAAAGGAAAGACAACCGATGGCTGGCATTTGATTAGCCCTACAATTTTAAACCATTACTCAAGGCCACGGCACTCATCAGCTCCCAAGACATAAATGTCCCTTCATGGAACAATTTAATGAACGCCAGAATTAACTTTGCCACCCAGCACGAGGCTTCCTCCGACTGCAGTCTCATGGCATTGGCGAGAGGAAAGGGCGAGCGCTTTGCTTACGCTGCCAGCCATGCTGCTGGCATCTCACACACTGCTTGGCGAGGGCATTGAGTTACAGGCTCTATTTTGCTACCCTCTCTCTGGCCAGCCGTAACCCAATCTCCTGAGCAGAATCAAATTCGGTATTCTCACCAAGTCATTGTTATGAAGTCCTTCTGCCCTCTGATCACTAACGAGGCCGCTGAACTTATTAAAACAGTTGTTTGTCTGGCTGAGACTGTTTCCTTTCTCTCATCACGCTGTTGTGAATACCCCGCAGATCACCCGCCCACACTCCTGCTAAAATAATGATTTTATTTTGCAAGCGCAACACGCAGAAGTGCCTGAGTCTCTCAGCATGAGAGACGTGATGAAAACTTCAGCTATTGAGCCAGCTATTAAAAGCAGGCGAGAACTTCAGCTGCAACACTGGAAGTTGCACTGGGCCATGCTAAGATTCCCCATATTTTGTCCTAACGAAGAAGCATGCTTGCCTTGAGGAAGGGGGGGAAAGTGCTTTCAGTGCGCACCCCCCGCTCCCCCGCTACACCCCACGAAAGGCAGCCCAACCAGCTGTCCCCAGAGGCCCTGAGAGGGCTAGCGTGACACCAGGGAGGCGCGTTCTGTGGGAGCCCCTCAGCAGAGGGAGCAAGCTACCTGCCATCCTCCCAGCACCAAGCACATGCTCCCCGGCAGCTGGAGCTTTGTTCCGGGCTCGGCTGCGACCCGCACTGACCAGCCGCTGCCGCCCTGCCCGCAGCCCCACAAGGCCGGGGAGAAAGAGCGTCTGGAGACCGAGTAGTAAACGGGGGGGTGTGGAAGCACAGGCAGGGAGCGGCTCCCTGCGGCAGGCCCAGCACCGGGGGAATGGAGAGAAAACAAGCAGGAGGGGCTGGGGCCGGGCTGCAATTCCCCCACGCCGAGCGTGGCCACGGTCCCTTTAAGAGGCCTAGCAGACACTCGGGGCCCGCCGCCCCACCGGCCTCGCCCCACCGCTTTCCTTAAGCGCCGCCGGCGCCGCCTCCCCCCTCTCCCCCCCCGCCGCCCCCCCCCAAGCAGCCGCCCCTCACCCCGCTGTCGGCCGCCTCCTCCCAGCTCTCGGCGACCTCCTCATCTTCCATTTTAATTCCCCTCCGCCGCCGCCCGCCGCCGCCAGCCCGCGCCTCGCGCATGCGCGCACCGCACCGCCACCACCCCACCCCGCGCCTGCGCCACCACCGCCTACCGGCCCGCGCCCGCCGCGCATGCGCATGCGCTCCCCCGCCCCAACCCAGCCCCCCCCCCCCCCCCCGAGGGTGCGGCGCCCACGTGCGGCGGGGCGGCCACGCGCCCCCTGGCGGGCAGGAGGACCGCGGGCAAAGGGACGGGGCGGGGGCACACGCGTGTGGGTGACACTTGCACACTCACCCCCCCACACCCGCCCACACCCACACACAAACGCGCACAGACACACACGCAGCCAGTGCTTTCCTCCTCCTGAAAGGCGCCAGCAGCACGTGCAGTGCCACGCGCCAACCGTTTTGGGGACATTCCGCTTTAATTTAGGGTTTACCGGCCAAAAGCAGCCCCGCCGATTTTAGCAAATCTCGCCCCTTTGTGCAACCGCTCACCACAGCGTCCCTCCTGCAGGCATCGAGTTGTCTGTGTGTCCTTCCATCACCTCAATTTCTGTCACCTTTCATCTAACCTCTCAGGTTCTCTTAAATCTCCTGAGGGGCAGGAAGGACCGCTTCAGCTCCAACCTTTAAAAACAGCTAGATTTCCCCAAAATAAAACTAACTTACTCTATTTATCTCATTTGTAGCCAGGTTATTCACCAGACCCAACGTATCGCTTCGTGCTTTGAGTGATACAACGGTATCTGGGGTGAGGCAGCGAGCAAAATTAAATGCCCCTTCCAGCATCCTAAAAAAATCAAATGTTCTGACAGGGAGTTACCAAAACTGCTCTTAAATCTTTAAACTTTGCTCCAAACACCGCACTGAGAGATGCAGCTTGCCGGCAGGTGGCGATCGGCTTCTTAAAAAAAAAAATAATTAATACTCCAGCTAAAAAAAAAATCCTGACACAAAGACTGTGGTTGGCCCTGGCCACCTCTATAGGCCCCCCAGGTCTCTCCCCTCCTCTGCCAAACCCAAAATCTAGGCTGGGAACTGCCAGGAACCCTCACAGCTGAGTTTTGGGGGGCTGTTTGTCAAAAGTGGATCCGCTAGCAGGGTTTTGCGGAGCATACAGCACTTGGGGGGCGATTTATATCCTGGGATTTCAACTGTTTTTGGCATCCCAGAGGGGTGGGAGATGGTGTCTCCCCTCCCTGGGAGAGGTGCAGGCCTGATGGGAGTGGTGCGGGTGGGAGGAAAGGGTGCAGCAGCCTCAGGCTGTTCCTACCCATCCTCTGGGATTTTTCCAGAAGGAAACAGGAACCCTGTTTTCAAGCAGTCAGTGCCCAGCATTGTTGGCTCAATCCACAGCCAATTCAGCATCCCAGTGGCATTATTGTTGGACGTTTCCCTCCATCCTGCCTGGTTTGCCCATGCTGTAAGAAATCCCATTCCCAGCCACGGCACCCCCATTCGAGATTGAGCATCCCATATGGGGGAGCATTGTGAATCTTTTGGGAATGTGATCTTAATGCACCCCTGGGTGAATGCTGGGTTACTTACGTGCTTGTGGACAAATTCTACATCTCCCTTCAGGTAATCCCAATCCTCTGCAAGGCATCTGGAGCATCTGGTTCGGCAGGGGACATGTCCAGGATGCTGAGCAGCAACCTCTGTGGTAGATGTAAGTCTGCAGAAGACAGAGAGGATGGCAGTGTCTTCCTCTGCCCCTTCCCCAGAATGATGCCACCCCACAATTCGGCAAGCACAACCGTATGTCAAAACACAGACCTGGCGCGCCCAGACATACGTACCCCCATGGGGAAGGGCTCCAGCAGCACCAAGGGCTCCCTCCTTTCCTCACCTCTGTGGCAAAACGGGTGCCCGCTGTCCTTCAGGCATGGGGACAGGTCCCATCTCCTGTCGCTGCTGGGCCATCCCCGCCTCAGGAGGCGGACAGGTCTCAGGGGAGAGGCAGGGACACGGCGGGGCTGTGGCAGGAGAAGAAAGGGGCCCTGACCCTGCGGGCAGGGAGGGTTCCCGGGCCCCAGCAGTGCCTCCCAGGGGAGTGGCTGAGGAGGGGAAGCCCGGGAAGGGACGAGGCCTGGCGAGGCGGCCGGGGAGGAGAGGGAGCCGCCCTGCCACCTTCCCCTCAAAGCCGACCTCCCCAACATGGCGGCATCGCCCGTCCGCCACTTCCAACATGGCGGCGAGACCCTCCAAAGATGGCGGCGAGACCCTCCGGAGGTAGCGGCCTCCCCCCAGAACGAGGCCGCCGCGCCGCAGCGGTGGAGGTGGGGGGGGGGGGGGGGGGGAATTGACCTTCCCATCATGGCGCGCCTTGCCACGTGACACTATCCCCTCCACACCCCCCGTTGTGGTCATGTGACGCGGGGCCGGCCGACGCTTGCGCAGTGCGTTCTCTGCCGCGGCCGTGAGCGGCGGCGGCGGAGGGAAGGGAAGATGGCGGCGCCGGTTCGAGCCGTCACCCGGGCGACGCGACGGCCCCGGCGCCTGCAGCCCTGAGGGCCCGGCGCTCCCCCGTCCTCCCCCAGCTGCGGCGGGAGGTGGCCGGCGGCAGGTGAGCGGCCCCGCCGTGCGGCTTCACCGGGGCGGGGAGGGGAGGGATGGCAGCGGCGGTGGGCAGCGTCCCTTCCCCAGGGAGCGGGGCGGTGGCGGCGGGCCCGGCCCGCCAAGGCCCCTCAAGGCGGGGCAGGCCTCCCCTGGAGGGGACTCCCCCCAATTTGGGGACTTGAGGAGGAGGTTGAGCTCCTCTTCTTTTTGGGGAGAGGAGGTGGGTCCCGGCTGAGGGTAGAGCCCCCGGGGTGTTGTATCCCCGTCCCTGTGGGGGGGGAGGCCCCTTCCCTGCCCGCGGAGGGCAGCAGCAGCCCCGGGATCTTCCTTAGTGCTGGGGGTGGGCAAAAACTGGCCCTCCCCAAAACCCCAGGTTTTCCCCCCAGAAAAATCGGTGCTGGCATTGGGCAGCACCAAGGCACAGGCTCGGCAGCACGGGGGGAACGGGTGCCACTGGCAGTGCAGAGGCTGCGGGGTGCTGCGGCTGCCCCAAAGGCTCATGTCTCCTATGTGTAAAAACAAAGGTGAGGCTCAGTCTCCAGTTATTCGCCAAATAACTCTGTGTCAATCCACATCACGACTCGCATCTGTGTTCGTGCCCCGCGTGCTGCTCCCCTTATGTGTATATACATGTTTAATTTGGTTCTGAAAGCATCGTGTTCAATCAGTAGTGGTGGCAAGCTTCATGTTCATCAGCCCAACAGGGTTTGGGGTGTTACTCCTCATTCTCCTCGCTGATAATCTTTTCTCGGTGATTTGAAAATGGCTTATTTGTTGTTACTGTTTTGTCACAATGGGGCTGGGCTGAGCAGACGTTGCAGGGATTCATCTCGATATGTGGGTCTCACGCAGGAAGATTATCTCATGCTGCCTGCAAGATGATGCCCAAACCTCTCCAGGGTGAAGTGTCTCGCTTCAGGCCTGTTTGGGTTTTCAAATTGGGCAGGGCATTTCCTTGGAGCCACAAGAGCAGGAGCAAAACCTTGGTATCTTGCTCTTAATAACCTAAATTCTAATTAATGCTCAGAGGAAGAACAAAAAAGAAGTCGTGCAAACCGTAACGCTTGTCTGCAGTATGGTGAATCAGTATGTTATGTGCTGGGGACTGTGTTCTGTTTGTAAGATAACCCGGTTGATCACTGGGGATGTCTTTTGTATTAAAAGGGCTTTAATTATCACTGGCGAGACTGGCTCATGCTGCAGGTCAGCAGCTGGAAGTCTTCCCCTTTACTAAAGGGGACGTGAATTAAAATAAATTACATTTGAGATGCTGCTGACCTAAATTTGTAACCTGGGCGTAACGATGTTTTTACCCACCCTGCCCTTCACGAGCGAAGGAGCCCAAAGTTTGAATCAATCCGCTGCCTCACAGGTGGCCTGGTGCAGCCCCGAGTCGGTGATGATGCTGCAGTGTCCTAATGAACTGCTTTATATCGCAACGCGGCAGTCACAGCCTGGGCTTGGCCCTTCTAGAGAGCCAAATCTCCGAGCTGGATGTTAGTTCAAGAGTTAAGAGACTCACTGTTATTTCCTCATTTCCGTAGCCCTGCCTGTTCCCACCACCAACTCTCCTTCCTTTTCCTTACACTCATGCTGAAGAAAGGCTGAATACCAGTGGCTTTCCCTTAGGTTGTGCTCCTCAGGTTTGCTTGGGGTCAGTCTTTCCCTGGTATCAGAATTGGGAGAAAAAGGGGCAGGATTCTGAGCTATTTCCAAGGCAGGGTGATTCCTCTCAGGCAGAGGGAAAAATTAGTTGTTTCTGCATCAGATTCAATCCTGTTCACCAGAGATTTTGTATCTCCATGCTTCTAGCAGAAGCAGAATCGCATTCAGTGGCTGTTTTCGCATAATGAAGATGCTTGTGCATGTTTTTCCTGCTGTGTTACCTGGTATTTTAACTGATGGGTGTCTCTGCCCAAGCAGCATTTTTTCCATGGTGGCAAGTGAAGCACTTGGGTTTGAAAGGCACCGTACAGTTTTAACGTTGCGCTGGTTTACAAACATGCTATGGCTTACTCTCATGGACTTTTAAAGGCATTATGTGTAACTTTAAATTTTAATTTGTGTTTACTACAGCCTTTAGTCTTTGGGACTTAAATTTTCTCTGTCTTTGGCTGTTAAAGAAGCCCTAGAAGAAATCTCACCTGCAGAACAAATGTCACTGGCCTGCCAGTGGTTGGTACGAAGATTGGGATGGTTTATTGGTGCTGTTGAACATGTGTTACCTTTGATTGGGGATTTCAAGCCACTGGTATTGCTAGCTGCTGCATCGGGCACTTTCTGGAGAGGGGTGTTTGTTCCCAAGGATAGCAAGGGTGTGATGACTGTCCTGACCTTAATCTCTCGAAATCTAATGTATATAATCTTCACCTTTAACAGAAGGAGTGACACCAGCTGTGGCTTTGGGGTGGGAGGATGGGGATGTTCTGTTCTTTGTGCATTCCCAGCACACGACTGATTCGTAAAGATCTGTTTTCAGGGCTTCAAAAAGGCGTTGGGTTTCAGCACAGCCTGCTTCGCCTGCTGCCAATTCCAGCCACTTCCACAGGATGTGAGCGAGTGCTGCTGGAAAAGGCTTCCCACTTTCTGTGTAAACAGAGCTGTGCCTCTGAGGGAAGTTATTTTTCCCTGTGTATTTAGTCATGGCAGGCTTTGTTGTAAAACACTGATTCAGGCTTTACCCTAACAAATTTTCTTAAGGTTGAACGTAAATAAGCTTCAACTCCTTGGCTTTTGAAATGCAGCATCACGTGGGGATGTCTACGAGGGCTTATAAAAGGTCTTAGAGCAAGAGCTAGGTTCAGATTCAGTCCAAATCTAGATAGAAGCCTGTGAAAAGAGGACTCTGATGGCCCTGATAACGTGCCTGATGGGTGTTTCTCCAGCTAAGAGCTCCTTTCGGAGTGCGACAGGAGTGGGACTGTCTGCAGTTGGTGACAGCCCTGAGAGACGCATCAAGGCATCTGGGCTGTGCTGCCATTAACAGATAATGCAGCTTTTTGATGTAGTTTAGAAATTCAGGTCAAAATCCCTTTTGAACTCGCTTGTGTCTTAGATTAAAGGAGAGGGAGGTGACACATCTGCATCAAAAATGGCGACTTGTGTTGAGCAAGATGCAGAAAACATGGGTCTTACATTCAGGAGCTTACTATTTCAAGACCTGCAAATGTTGTCCTAGAGCTTTGGTTAATTCGCATCAGACCATGCTGTGGTCTGTATTCGCTTCCCCATTTCTATGGCAATTTTTAAAATATTTATCTTTGCTAGCTGAGCGCCTCCTGAAACATCTGTGACTTCCAATGTTCATTTCCCCTCTATTTAATATACTTCAGACAACACTGATTTGCAACTCAGACGTGTTCTATCTCTTCATATGTTTCAGACTCATTTTGAAACACTTGTCTGGCTTATTTTGTTCTGTGCTTGTGCAAATTCTGTAATAATGTGGGGTTTGGAAGGTTTAAGGTAAGTTGGTAGAGCTACTTGAATTTATTTGGGGCTTCTTGTTAGGTTAATATTGATGCTCTGTGGCAACGCTCCTTACTGCTGCTGGTCTTGTCAAACCTCAGATCACTGGTGTCAGCCCCGTTGGCACTTTGAGATGTATTTAAGGGTACCCCCAGGGCTCCACGGCAAGTCATGTTTGGTGAAAAGATGCTTTTATTTGAGTTGGTTGTGAAGGGACGATGTTAGGAGATGTCCTGTTGCCGGGCCGCCTCATACCAAATATGTAGAAGCAAGGGGCTGTCACTGAATGCTGCAAATCATCACCAAAAATACACAATAACCTTAGGAAAAACCTTATTTTGTGATACACATTCTGCCTAAGGAAAGCTCCCTGCGAAGCTGCAGAAATTATTGCTCTTGCCATTACTGTCTGTACGGTCTTGTCTGCAAGTGACACATTTCAGCAGGCAAAAAGATCATCTCTGGTTTGCTGAATGATTTGGGGTTTGGGGAATAAAAAGCATCTCATATGTGTAAATAATGTTGCTGTTAAGTCAGGGTGACTGTGGAGGGAAACTGCATCCCAAAACTTTTTACGCTGGGGAATCTGTGATACGTATCAATCATTATGGCTGGCTTTTTACCATGCTGGAGAGCCTGCAATGATGTGAGTGATTTATCTGTGTTTTAACGAAGGATCATGAACCCCTTAGGTGCAGTTATCTGCACACGCTCAGCCCCCTCACTGTGAGGAGTATCAAGCCTATTAAAAAAGCATAATTCTGCAAAAGGCAAACATTTTCAGTGAATCTCTATTTTTTTTTTTCTTGTCACTGGTATTGGGTGCACATCTGATCCTTCTGCCAGCATGCGAAGGTGCTTGCCCAAAACACCTTAAATGAGAAAACCAAACAGCAGCTACTTCTGTACCATTGTTGTCACATCCATTCTGCAATTATTTTGTTCAATTCCACCGTCGAGCAGCCACCTTTAATCTGTCCTGCTGAATGCATGCTCTTCCTGCATTTGTTTTTAGGCTGGCTGTTTTATTTCCTCATTGTGACTGCTGCTGGGGACTCCTGCGAACCTCCTGGACCTTCAGGTTTTGGAGCAGCGGTGACCCGCTCTGCAGACACAGACACACGTTGTGGCTTGGGAGGGGACACGTGGGACGCTTTAGCCCACTCTGAACCTGGCTTTTGGATGCTGTGAAATCGCTGGCGTTTCATAATATGTGATAATACGTGGTTTGCCCCACTTTTGTGCTCGGTACGATGCCAGGCTGGGCTTATCAGTTAGAAAGGGGTGCCCGGGTGCCCGTTGGGGTGATGGGAGTGCTCGTCTGGGATTTTAATGAAGGGAGATCTTGGGCTGCTGGGGGAAGCTCAGTTTTTCATTAAGAGGTAGGGATGAATTTGAAATTAGCACAATTTCCCTGATTTTTTTTATTTGTTTATTAACATAATGTGGATTTAACTTCTCTTTTTTTTGTCTCTTTCTTAGTATTTAATACCTAGTATTTTTAAGCCTCACTAAACTGCTGGACTTGAGATACGGTGT